GCCCCTCCGGGTGGAGGCAACAGGTGACCGGCTAAGACCGGTCCAGGGCCCCTCTCCTTTCCCCCATTCCCTCCCTTCCGACCTCAGCCTGGCGAGGGCCGAGGCAGGGGCTGCCCCTCATATGCCCTGCTGCATTTGTGTCTCTGCAGAGAAGGTGTTCGCCAGCCTCCCCCAGGTGGAGAGGGGTGTCTCCAAAATCATCGGCGGTGACCCCAAGGGCAACAATTTTCTTTACACCAATGGAAAGTGCGTCATCCTAAGGAACATCGACGTGAGTACCCACCCCCTTCCCCCCACCAGACGACTGTTCCTTCCCTGGGCGCAGCAGTGTGGTTTATTCTCCCTCCCCTTCCACCCCCTCACCTCCGGCCCAGCGGCCTGGGGAGAGGACGCCACACCCCCTCAGCCTTGGGACCACACCTCGGAAGCCCAGGAAGAGAGTTTCAAATGTATCCGGGCCCAATTCTCTTTCCGTGGGGAAACTGAGGCTCACATTAGTTCAGTTGGTGAGAATAAGGCTCTGAGTTTGAGAGATCAGACAGACCCGGTCAGCGGCTGCTTGACCTTGGGATGGTTGGTTATTTGGGCGTCTCTGAGCCCGTTTCCTCATCTGTAAAATGGAGGCGTTAACATGTGACTGCCCCCACGTACCCTGGCTGCCAAGGCCCATGGAGTGAGATGCGTCCCTGCAGCCCAGCATGCTTGGCACATAGCCAGCACTTACTTGGTAAATGGCACTTACGTTTAATCATTTAACATCCAAGGTCTCGGTGTGGCAGAGCCCAGACTCACACCCAGGCCTCTGCACTCCAGCCTGATCATCCCCCTGCAGATCTGAGTCCCAGGGCAAAATCAGGAACCCGTTTATACCCATGAATATTTGCTCAGGCATCCTGTACCCAGGCTGAGAAGGCTTCTAGAGACCATTCCTTGGGAAATCCTCAAAAATTTTGTCACTTCCCTGTAATTATTGAAATGACCCAGTCTGCCTGTCAGTCTCGCTGCTGCGGGGATTGCACACTGAAATCTTTCTTCTGCCTTCCCTAGCCTGAGTGGTGGAGTGGGGGATGGAAGCCGGAGGTACCAACATGCCCAACTCAGGGTGTGGGGGGGGCGGTTCTGAGCTTGAGACTGAGCCTTGTGCAAAGTATGTAGGTGGATAATTTTGACTGGCGACGCTCCCCGGGGATGTCAACTTAAATCCACGTGTGTTGTGCGTTCTTACCTTTGGGGGACTGGAATTGTCGCTTCTGAGACGTCTTTGCTCTCAGGAACCTCAGAGCTGGCTGAGGGAGTGAAGGGCCCCTCAGTTTCCTTGCCTGTGAGAGGAGAAGGCTCTGTGGTCTGCATGTGCTGGCTCTGCCCCCATCTCTGGTGAAGCCAGCCAGCCACTATCGTCCCTCTGCGGAAAGACGGAGCTCCACGTGGCAGTTTCTGCCCTTCCCAGGATTGCCCGGCACCTCACTTGAGGGGGTGGGTGAGTGTGACTGCTTTGAAGGTGCTAACAGCTCCTCTGCTAGACACGGATTCCTAGAAAGCTGGTCCTGCCTCCCGCAGAACAGGGAGAACATCGCCAGGGACACAGATAGTAAAGATCTGGAGGTCTCCAGGGAGGTGCTGAGATACTGAGGAAATAAAAGTTGTGAGGGCCCCAGGCAGAGACTCACTAGTAGTCTGTCAAATACAGTGGGCACGTGCAGCCTCGGGGACACGGGGCAGTAGAGGGAGCACGTGGGCTTGCCCCTCACAAGGCGCACGCACGTCGTGGCCGGCTGCGCTCACTTCCAGACCAGAGGCCCCACATGAAGACCTGCTGTGTGTCTAGTATCACGAAAGGCCCTTACCTGCAGCATCCCCTTTGACCCCCGCAGTGGGCGTGTTGCTTGGAAGAGGGGTCAGGCCCAGCGAGACGAAGACAGCCACTAACTGGAGCTGTTTCCAAAGGAGAAGCTGTTTGCAGCCACCGACAAGCACCCTCTTTGCTGGAGGCACTCCCTGACTTGGGGAACCCTCTCTAGTCCTTCTGAGCTTTTCATTATCAGTACCCCAGAGTTTACCCTTCTCTTTCCAGGGCACATCTGCTTTCTCTCCTATCTGTTTGTAAGTTCCTGCCGGGCCAGGGCAGCATCAAGGTGCTGCTAATTGTTCCTCCCTCCCTGCTTTGGGCACACGTCAGGCATTTAGGCTTTTGTTAGTTGGGGGTGAACCCTTGGTGCTTGAGTAAAGGTGGGTGCAATGTTTATTAGGGCACAGTGCCCCTGGGAAAAAGACGTGATTCCTCATGAACATTCCGGAAATAGGAAGGAATACAGTCTGGTTGGAATACAGGTTCAGGGAGTAGGGAGAGACAGGAAAGAGAGGTTGGGACTAGATGGAGGCGTGTCCAACAGATATCTGATTGGCAGCTCGTTCTCAGCATGCCCAGGCCACATCTGGGTTTCCCCCATGTCCTTCCCCCTAATGGCAACACCATGCCTTGAGCTGTTCGGGCCCCAACCATGGACTTCTCACTGGTCCCCCTGCTCTTCCGTGCTTCACTTAGTTCTTCAGTGAATCCTGGTGAGTCTGCAAAGGGCTTCTGAATCTCGCAGGGCTTCACTGCTTCCACTTTCACCCTCATCCAAGCCACCGCCCTCTCACCTGGTTTGCAAAAGCGAAAAGCCAAACAAGTGTCCCTGCTTCCACCCTGGCTCTCCTCCAGTCTGCTGTTACATGAAAATACGAGATTGGGGCGCTCCTCTGCTCTCCCTGACCGAGGCTGAGAGGGCCTCGCCATCCCGCCGCGCACCTCCGATCTGACCTCAACGGCCCCCCTCCTCCCACCGGCTCCGGGCTCCCGGGTGTCCGAGCTCTCCCTAGAACATGCCGCAGGTCGGTCTCGGGACAAGGGCTTTGCTGCGGCCTTCGCTCTATATTCTTTCCTCAAGTAGCTTCATGGCTCACTCCCCTTTTCCTTTAGGTTTCTGTTTAGACATCTCCTTGTGGCTGTGGCCCCTCCTAAACAGCACCCTATCCTGGCTTTCCCTGCCCCTCGGTGCTCATGGCACACAGGGAGCTGGCCAGCGAGCAGAGCAGCCACCTGCTACCTGACCTGCTACATCCTGACCTAGCGCGGTGCCTGGCACCAAGTAGTTGCTCAGTAAGTCATTTGTTGATTGAAAGGCCTTGAAAGCTGGGCTGTGCGGTGGAGACAGTGAGCAGCCACTGAAGCTTTTACTGCGTGGAAGTGAAAAAGGCTGGGCCCAGGTCAGGCTGCTGGACTTAAGTTTTGTGGCAGTCACCTTTTTTCACACCAAGCAGACCCTTACTGACTTCCCATTTGGAGCCACCGCTGTCATTTGTTTTGTTGCCTTAAAAGTTGTTTTGCGAACCCAGCAGTGCAGCAGTTCTTAAGCTTATAGAAAAAGAAAAAAGATTGCCCCACCTTGGAGAGGAAATTCTCTCCAGAGTTAAAAGCATGCAGTGATGTGGCTGACCAAAAAGGTGTTCCAGAAGGAAGGAACCTGATACAGTCTTCCCTTGAGGCCCGCGTCATCCCTGGCCGCCACCCGCCCCCAAGTCTGGGAAGGTTCCTCCCAGTCGCTGTGAAGGAGCCTCTCGTTCTAAACTGCCCAGGACTACTTCCCCGGAGAATAGCTTTGGTAAATAATTCTCCTACCATAGGCCCCTCCAAGCTGCCAGAAGCAGCCAGCAGATTTGCTGCAAGAGCAAGTTTGGAGTTGCTTTTTAAAATACTCAGTCTCTAGATTCCAGAACTAAAATATATGTATATTTGAAAAAAAAAATGCTACATCTGAAGTTAAATTCGGAGCCCAGTGTTTGCAGCAGTTAGACGTTGCTGCTTCCAAGCTCAGCACAGTGGGCTCATCTCCTTGAACAAGGTATCAACCAGGTTGGGGGATGTTGAACTTGAGCACTGAGTTTCATGTGGAATGATCTGCCTGTCATGGGCGGAAGGACAACCTGTGCCTCCCCTACAGGTGGGGGCGGGGGTGTGTACGTGAAGGGACAGATGGCTGGAGAAGGACTGACCTCTTCCCTTCTGTCCCATTGCACATGCCTCCAAGTCCCTGCCACAGGCCCAGGGCAGACACACCGGCCCCACCTGCGCGGAGCCTGCCGCCCTGGGCGGGGGTGAAATGGGCCCCAGGGTGACAGAAGGAAGTGGCATGTTTGATTAAGGCCCAGGCAGCACACATGTGGGGTCAAGGGCCAGGAGACAGCTCAGGGCCTGTGGTCTGACCTTTAACAAGTGAGGAAGCTGAGGCTCCGAGAAGACCCCCCAAGCTGTGTGGGGCCTGAGTGGTGGGCACGGGCCTCACTGGTTCTGGGGCCAGTGACCCTCTGGTGCTTTAGCTGTCGTGGTGGTGCTCCCTGAGTGTCTGCAGGCTCCAGGCAGGCACTTGTCATTTCTCTCCCACCTCCCTTCTCCCCCTCCTGTGTTTGAGCCCAAGTTAATCTTGTTATAAGTATTTATCAAGCATCTGCTTTGTAGCGAAGCCTACGCCAGGTTCCAGAGACATCTTGACAAAAGCCTGTCCTCACCAAGACAGTCTTGCAGGGCAACCGGGACTGATGCTGAGAGGAGGAGACAGGCCGAGAGGCGTTCTCACGCGGAGGTGGGGGGGTCTGAGGAGCTGGGGGCTGGGAAGGGACCAGTCAGGCGGAGCAGGGGCAGCCAGAGGGTCCCACACAGGTTGTGGAGTTTCGTGGCTGGAGTACTGGGGTGAGGGGAGTGATGAGCAGGCAGGAGAGGGTGGGGGGCCCTGGTGCTGGGGGTCAGGCAGCCCTGGAACAGCCTAGCCCTGCCCCGAGGCCACCAGCACCAGGAAAATATTGAGCAGATGCACAGTGAGGTCAGGTCAGTAGAGAGGGGGTGTGGAAGGTGTGAGGCAGGGAGACCAGTTAGGAAGCTGCTCAAGGATGCCCACATCGTCACCTGGCACCCTTGGTTCTCAGTGTTTCCCACACACATTCCCCATCCTGCCGGGCCCTGCCCACGGCCACGGCGCCCGAGATGAGATCTAGTGAGGCAGTCCCTCCCCTCCCCCACCCCACTGAGATAGTTGGCAATGTCTGCAGATGTTTTTGTGCTACTGGTATCTAGTGGGTAGAGGCCAGGGATGTTGCCAAACATCCTACAACGTTCAGGGCTGTCCTCCAGCAAAGCGTTATCCAGCCCAAAGTGTCGGTAGTAGCAACTGCAGAACGCTGGTAGGTAAGGTTCTAATGCACTCAACTAAGCACTTAGGAGTGTCCTGAGTGCTTTAG